AGGTCCAGTTTATTTTGCTCTTGGGGAGTAGGGTACACCTGACATGGATAATAGGAGGACGAGACTGGTCCGGCTCAAGGAGACTGGTCCGACTCAAGGAGACTGGTCCGGCTCAATCTTAAACATTATTTATTGGATTGAAAGCAAAATAAAATCCAGGAACGATAGGGGGCTTGGAGGTTCAGTTAGTTCCCAAGCGAATTTGTAAGCAAAAAAAAAATTGATTTATGTCGTCTTATATGTATATACAGTGTAGTGAGAAAAAGTTCTCCAAACACTTTCCCAAATGATCATTGGATTAACATCTTTCTCTACGATTCTTTTATACGGGTCACGGTAATCACCTTCCCTGCGAAGAAGCGTTCTTGTTCAGCATGGTGAGTCGGTATGGACCGGAACCGAGTAAAATGTTACTAAAGGGTGAAAATCAGAAAAGTGCTATTTATTGTAGGAGCAACGCTGGACCATTATTCAGAGGAGTATGTGACTTATATGTATCCATCGCCAGCAACGCTAACACAAGTGGTTCAAGTTACAGCAATCTTGGTAGGACGTATCAGTGTCCTGAAGGATATCACTATACATTCTTTACGGGAACTGAAAAATTTATCGTGACAGATTACGAGATGTTTGGAATCAACTAGTTGTAACACGGATGTAACGGAGCCATATATAAACAAGTGAATAAGCTTAATTGTAATGCAGCTGACTTCCCTTTTTGTTTCATGAAGATTTGAAAAGAGGAGCGTCTGAATTATTTTTTTTCAGAGAACGATTCTATTCATCAACTTTTGGTTTGACCTTTTGCTCGGCCGTTTTGCGAACGCCTTCTTGCACCTGGTGGAGGCTATTATCATGATGTAAAAAGATGGAGTTGCTTTCCTGAACCATACGTATTAGAATCAACGTTTGAACTCTTCATTTTCCATGATTTGCTCTGACGTCGAAAATACCCCTTTGCTCTTTACTTTTTAAGGCTTTGTAAACTCGACTCGTAAATATTCTTGAGAAAACCAAATTTATTCAACTGATCGTGATCATGAAAGGTTAAGAGCAAATTTTAAAAATCCAGGTCTGTATCATACTGCATCGTTCATCACGGAATGGCTCAGATTATTTCGGTATTTTTAAAACAAAACTCTTCGATAATGCTGATGCTTGTTATTATTGTTCTTTTTTCTGTTTTAATATATATATATATATAACAATGTTTTTCTATTCAATAAAGTTACATATGGACTTTAATATAGGTCTGTTTCGTAGACCGACAAGAAGTTGGTCCACTCATTAGTTAAATTCCAACACTGCAGCATCGCTTGAGGTAATATACATCGGCAGTATGATCATTACAAAATTTAAACTATGATTGGTTCTTAAGGATGCGGTTGAATCTAAGGAGAAAATTTCGCTTATGCCTGCAAGTTGATACGGTCGTAAATTTCCTTGACGCAACATCAGACTTAACCACTGAAAAGTACAAGCCTTATTCGAAGCCTACAAGCACTCTGCTCTATGTCCACAGCAAATCTAACCACCCCCCCTCCATTATAAAGAACATCCCTGAGGCTATTAACAAAAGATTATCTGAAGTCTCATCAGACAAGGAAGCCTTCAAAGAAGCAGCACCACCCTACCAAGAAACGTTAAAGAAAAGCGGTTATCCGTACACCCTTAAATTCACCCCACCACAGCAGCCACCAGAATCCACCACTAACAAGAAAAACAGACATAGGAACATAATTTGGTTCAACCCACCATTTAGTAAAAATGTTCAAGCCAACATAGGAAGACAATTTCGAAATTTGATAGAGAAGTGCTTTCCACCGAACAATAAATTTGGAAAACTGTTTAACAGAAATATTCTTAAGTTATAGTTGTTCACCAAACATAAAACAGATTATCGATGGACACAACAAGACCATCCTAAGTCAGAACATATCACATCAAGTACAAACACCCCCCAAACCCTGCAAAACCAGACAAATGCCCTTTGAAAGTTCAGTGCTTAGCCAAGGAAGTAGTGTATCAAGCCATCATCACCACTGCTGAAAACACAGAGACGTACGTTGGCCTCACCGCCACGGAGTTCAAGACGAGATGGCGAAATCACCAAATGTCATTTAAACATGAAAGCCAAATGAATCACACTGAACTGAGCAAACATCTCTGGCAGCTAAAACATCAAAAGAAAGACTTCGCAATCTCCTGGAGAATTCTAGACAAGGCCAGATCTTATAGCAATCTTACTAAACGATGTAACCTATGTACTACCGAAAAATTCTATATTCTATATAAACCGCATCCTTAAGAACCAATCATAGTTTAAATTTTGTAGCGATCATGCTGCCGATACTCAAGCGATGCTGCAGTGTATATGGAATTTAACTGATGAGTGGACCAACTTCTTGTCGGTCTACGAAACAGACCTGTATTAAAGTCCATATGTAACTTTATTGAGTAGAAAAACATTGTTATTACCGCTCCATTACTGTTGAGCACT